TCCAATATTTCATGCATGAAAACCCTTCTTCGCATGGATTGAAGTCGGGAGAGTATGGTGACAAATAAATGAGTCGACGCCCGCTGTAGATCAAATTCAGTTGGTTGGCAATCAAGAGGATATATCCTACGCACCGTCCCTCGACCATCTCACGAATCCCATCAAAATGATGAACACTTGCGTTGTCCATGACGAGAACAGAGTTGTCCTGTGGAAAGGGATTCATGCGGTCAAGGAGAACATCGAGATAGTTGCGGAACTCTACGGCGGTCCAGGATCGAGTCAACACATCAAAGTGAAGTATGCCATCGAGGCAAATTGCCGGAAGAACAGAATAACTATACATATCAGCAGGCACGTAGCGCTGACAAGAGCAGAAACACATACCGGATGCCTCGGACAAAAAAATCATGCCGCCGCGCTCGCATTCCAATGGGGGCCCATGCCATCTGCCGCCGCGTTGTATGTCGATTGCAAGCTGCGTCGTCTAGGAAAACAAATCTTCGAGGTGGGTGTTGTCCAACTTCACATTGAAACCCAAGCCGTTTGTTTTCCTCAGCTTCGAGTGCAGTTCGAGATATCTAAGGATATACCCATGTCAGCGGCACGAAACTCTTAGCAATTTTACTTACATGAACCCGAACATAACCCATTCGCAAAAGGGCGTCACGGATGGTGGTTTTAGCGACGTCAAGTCCCGTGGCTTCGTACAAACATTCCTGTAGCTCGAAAAGATAGATGTCGGGGGTTCTCGCAACAAGACCCTCAAGATACTTCTCAAAGGGTCAAATACGAAGGGTATTGAGAAGACCACAGACCGCGACATCAAAAGATGTAAGAATGCGGGGTCGTCCAAGCTGCAGAGGAATTCGGACGTGGTCCCCAGTGGTCCGCCACGTTCGGATGATGCGGTATATGGTTCGCTCGCTGATGTCGGTAGCTGCAGCAATGTCTGGGACAGACATATGGGCCGACATTGTGGTGATGAGCTGTTTCTGCTCCTTAGGTATGTGGCGGCGGTTTCCTCGTCGTATCATGGTGAGAGTGAGGAGAGTATACTGTGTATTGGCGGGGAACGCTCGTCGTCATGATGGAGCTGAGCTGTAGCTAAAAATAATTATATGACAGGTCTGCCGGGAGTTGCCGAACTCAGCTCGAAAATCGAAAATGTCTATCGTTTCCAAAATAGCTGTCATGTCCCAGGTCACAGGGCAGTTTTGGCCCGTTTTCCCATCAAATTAAACAGCCCGGAAAACGCAATTTGAATCAGTGAAAAAGTGGAGTTAAGTGGTCACAGGTCACAGCGGCTGAAGTTATGGTCGAAATAGTACAGTACCGAGGGCTATGCAGGCTCGATACCAGCCGTTATAGTGGTAATGACGAGCAAGCAGGTATTACTTACTATAACGGCTGGAAGCACTTAGCCGTAGATTGACAGAGGATGAGCTTATGCCGCTGATCAGAAAATATTTCGCACTGGGTTATTCAGATGGCAAAATTGCTAGAGAGTGTATGGACCACTTCAATAAGAATGTCTATGGCTTGAGGTGCTCCCCGCCCCGCATGCTGGCCGTTTATGTAGCTCACGCAACTATAGTACATCTACGGTGAAACGACGACGCAAGCAGATCCAGCTGCTGAGGCAAGTCGCTTCTCTTTCAGACAAACACACACCTGACAGTCAAGTCGGTTGATAGCACAGTCAAGCAAGCTGTGACATGGGAAGACATAGAGCCCATGTACAACAACCTCCGTCAGAAATTTCCCAATCTCGGCGCTCGCGACATGGTAGCGAAATTACGACTTTTGTATGGCGTTAGAATATCAGAGTAGGTTTATCTCTTAATGTAAGAAATGAGGCTCATGCATTCTAGGATGGTTCTATTGAGGTAAGTACCTCAGAGAGCATGACAGCGAGGGCATTGCCCGTCGCAAGGCCAAGCGGTTTGTCCGCAAGCGATTCTGGTCTGCAGGGGTGATGGATGTCCTATGTTTCGACCAACATGATAAGTGGAAACGTTTTGGGCTTTGGCTTCATTTGGGAATGGACCCTTTTACGGGACGTATTGCGTGGATAAAAATATGGTGGAGCAATCGCAATTCCAAGCTCGTAACAAGCTACTTTATTGATGCGTGTAGAGAGATTGGCGGTGTGTTGGCTGTCTGAAAACTGAATATCGCTCACACACAGCTCATGTTTAGGAATCCCAATGATATCACAGAGCGACCTTGGACCAGAGAACTTTGGCATAGCAAACTGCCAAACCGCCACTCGCCAGCATCTTGACGTAACACTTGTTGGGAGTATGCAGCACCGTTGGGTGAACAAGAAGGCCATGAATGTCAAACCAGAGGCTACATGGTCTGTGCTGAAGGCGGAACTTCTGTGTAGCCTTTGAGACGTGTTTCAATCCGGGCACTAATCCCGACGAGAACGACCATATTCTGCTGGACATCTTGGATCCGCTACAACAGTAAACTTTCTTCAACTATCTTTGAGAAAAATAGTAACGCAATTCTCAGACTCATCTTCCGATGGCTGGCCATTCCGTGGGTTCAACATGAACTGGACGTGTGGCGCTTCATGGAAGCAAGAAAGAGGCCCCCCCCGGCTTTCGTCCTGCTTCTCTCCACCAACCCCCCACCGAGAACAATGTGCTCCCTCCACCACCAGCTGGGGGCGAGCCCAGTGGACATGTACAGTAGCATCACCCTCCCCCCTCCCTCCCCCGGCTCGTACTTCCTTTTTTGGCACCCCCCATAGACGCTATATTTTTCGCTGATTTTCCATGTATTTTACGACTATTTTACCGGTATTTTAGAAATACATTTCCTTTTTGGGCAGTAGATGCCTGCAGAACATCTACAAGTGCCAAAGTTATTGAAAGTTAATGAAAGATATGCAGAGTTATTGAGCTGAGCTGTACTTCTCCTCAACATATATATTTGCTGAAAGTTATTGAAAAGATCTCCGAAAGATATCGACAGGAGCCCTGCGCTACGGTTTCGGCCACTAATTAGTGTTGTAGATGAGCTACATATGTATTACCCCACTTATTACTGGGGTTTTGTGGGCAGTATAGGTGCCGAGCGCAGGAGGAAGGATTAAAATTATCCAATCTTCCAGTAGCAATGACCCCAGGGTCTAAATCGAATGCGGCCCCGTTGACGGTTGCTGTCAAATGTCCAGAAGAAAAGGTGTATTCGCCAAACCGTGCGGGAAATGGTGCCGGAGTTGGATTGCCGACGCGTGAGTTGCGCGGTCGAGGTTTTGGATCACCAAGGGGAGGTTTCCGCGGCCATGGCCGGGCACACGCGCCGCCGACAGCACCGCGTTCGCAGCCCCGACAGCAGTTTGCACCGCAGCAGCAGCCCAATCGATACAACGGATTAGACGCGAGTATGCACGCACCATCATACACTAAACGCTATCCCCCCAACACCTGGCCCCCCACGTGACCCGCGGATCAGCCTTCCGAGAGGGTTCCACGCTGTCAGAGACTTCCGCCGCCATCGACAAGTCCACTCAGAGGCGCCGCCAACGCTCTTGAGCCCATTTGTGAGTTATTTCTCTGAGGGTTACATGCCCCCGATGGTATTGCGCACCACATTGTCCCTTAGGAATCTTTTACATGAATTTATTCACTCAGGTTCATAATTCTAGCTATATTGCCCCGTTCACCAAGTTATCTGTACTTTTTATACACTTATATAGAGACTCAGATTGAGCTCACTGTTGTCTCCTTCGCCGCCGTTGGCGATGATGTGTGACAGCACCAACCGCGGCACAGGTGTGATTGGACGCGCCTAACACCGTTACTTTCAGAGGTACACAGGAGTTACTAACCCCATCCTATCCACTCCTCCTCCTCCTAATTTCTGAACAATGGAACAGGCGGGATAGCGTGTTAACGCAGTTGAGCCAATGTTGAGCTCTTCTGAATGGACTTGTCGATGGCGGCGGAAGTCTCTGACAGCGTGGAACCCATCTCGGAAGGCTGATCCGCGGGTCACGTGGGGGCCAGGTGTTGGGGGGATAGCGTTTAGTCACCATCATCATTTCATAATCACCACCATCACTCGTCGTTCGCACCACCGTCGCAGGGAAGCTCGTCGCTCAGTGGAGCATTGTCATTCTCGACTCCGTCAACAGCGTCCACAATGAGCCCCTCCAGCGGCAATAATCTCGCTACTTCCTCGTATCCCAATTATTTGGCAGGACACGCAGCAGCACCCGCACCCGCGACGGCCCTGTTCCCGCATTCGTCGTCGGCCGTCGCCGCTACTTCGACTCCGTTCCTCGAAGGTCAGTCGGACGTGCTCAGCCAACTCCACACGACACTGGAAGCGCCCATGGGAGGACTTCACATTGGTGGCTATTATCCCACTCCCTACGACTACTCCGCATACCACGCCGAGGTTTGAGGCCCAGTGAGAATCCCTTCTGGGCTGGTCTGCCCAGATACGCTGCAATCTGTGCAATTTCGGAACCCAGATCTGAGCATCTCAGCCCATCCATCAACACACCAGAGCAGAAAATCTTTTTTTTCTGGGCTGCCCTGCGCTCACATGCGTAGCTATGCTCGGCTCTGGTCAGCTCTGTTCCTTTCAATTCCACTGGGTATAATCGAATAAATTGTATATAAATTCAAATTCCACTACCTAGTACACGAATATCAAACTAAATAAAAGATACCAAGTACTCGCGCCGCCTCCGACGTCGCCCACTCCCTGCTGACTCCACATTCTTTCGAACTGCGAAGTCGTGTCAACGCGTGCAACAAGAACGATGTCCAAGCTTACCACGCCTGCTCGTTCCCGCGTTCCTAATAGAAAATCAAACGATATAAGTCAAAGCGCAATTTTGAAAAGGGATACCTAGTTTCGTGGTGCCGCCGGCGACTCTTAACCGAAATTTGAACTCACGCCGCGAACTTGTGACGATCACTTGCCACGTCACGCTGGGGTCGACCTATTCCGAAATGAGACAGTACCCTCAAGCTCGTGTGTTCTAGTGGTTGGAAAATATGTCGCCTTGACTTTCATGTTTTGCTCGACGTCGTGAGTTCAAGTCTCACCCCGCGCAATATTTTTTTCTTGTGTTTCTGAGAACTCAGAGCACATACCACGCAGTGGGCCCCCGCGGCGAGCGGAAAGCACCACGCGGTGGGCCTCCGCGGCGAGCGGAAAGCCGCGCGCAGCGGTCGGGGTCTGGGGTGGAAAACCCCAGCCGTCCGGGCCGGCGCCCGCAACCCAAACCCAATGGTCAAATCACACAAAAAAAATATCATTCACAAATCATACAAAGGAGGTAAGAAAACCCATCAGAGACTCGGAATTTTGGAGCTGCTCCAGCGAAACTCACAGGAAAATTGCCGTTTTCACCGAGCGGCAGGTCCACGAAGTGGGGCGCCGCAAATTTCGGTGAAAAACGGCAATTTGACTGTGAGTTGAGTCGGAGCAGCGGGAAAATGGAGGCAAAAAAAAGGCAGGGAGCAAGCAAGGAGCAAGGGAAAAACGTTGGCGGCATGTCACACTGTGTCACAGATGCGTGACAGTTCGCGGCGTGGGTTTGGTCTTCCTCTTAACCACCTTGAGCGAAGTATTGCAATGATCGAGATCTGCTGGGACAACTTCAGCGCGGTTTGGGGCAGCGAAGACGACATAGACTTACTGGTGTTTCGCCGACGTCGCTCCCTTTGCGGATTCCAGGCTGAGGAGCCTGGAGAACATAGATCAGTGTGGCGCGCGCCGAGGAAACGGAGGAATACCTTTACACACCGATTGCGCCTAGAGAAGGACGCTAGATTAGATATCGCGACGACGCCGAGACATGCTTGATGCACTTGCAGCGCGGAATATACACTCATATCACGAGATCGGAGGACAACACTTCTTCAGGCTGAGTGTGCGAGCGCTTGGTGAGACCGACCTGTAGGAGGGTAGAGGTAGCAATTGGACCAATCCCGAATGCAGTGCGGCTGGCAAGATTCAGTAGGGTTCTGGCGGTGCACGACCTCGTTACAGCTGTACGCGCGCCAATGTAAACGATTGTAGGTGACGGTCGTGTCGTGACTTTCGAGAATGAGGCGGGGTGCGGAGCGAAATAGGAAGAGGCGGCGATATCTTGATAATGCTTAACAGTGAAGATCTTCATATGTATGACAGGGTTAAAGAGGACGGGTCGGAGGACGAGGGAGCATCGGGGAGCGTATGACGAAGGGAAGTAAGCTTTTCAGGTGTGAAGGCACACACCTCAGAGGAAAGACCGCTGCCTGTAGGACCCCACGCCGTTGATAGCGGTACGCAGACCACCCATTCAAAGTCACCACGAATTCCTCCCTCGAACACTATCGCAGCGAAGAAGAATGTTGTCGCCGTCGTTGACAGCAGCGTCGCTCGATATTATCGGTTTCTTTGGTGGGATGGCGACTCGGCGAGTGGCAGCAGGTCTAGAGAAGAGGAGGAGAGAAGGTGAGGGAGGTAGAAGATGTAGTCGAGAGAGCAGCGGAGGAGATGGGGAACGGTGGAAGGCAAAAGCAGAGGGAAGATGGTGGTGGTACGGATTCAAGATGCATTTCAGACTCCGCTCGCCGTTCTCCCGCCTTTCACACGCTGATGTGGCGGCGTCAGACAAAGTCGCGTCAACAAAAAAACGATGCATATGCATTGGAATTTGGGACTCGGAGGAATTTTCTCCTCAATTGTGAGTTTATTGCGATAAAGATAGAATTCTCATATGTGCAACCGCAGATATGAACAGATGGACCAGAATTGAGCATATTTGCCCATATCGGCCCAGACGGGATTCTCACTGGGTTTGAGGTGTCGATGGTTCACTCCCGCGTATACAATACTGCTTGCTGCTGCTCCCGCTGGTCTTCAATTCGCTGCGCGACATAATTGGCTGTCGCTGTACCAACACCCGCTTGTCCGCGCCTCTGCTGCGCACTTCTTGGACGAAGAATCGAGTTGGATTTGCCCAACTCATGGGGGAGAGTTAGTCTCTTATAAACAGACATTAGAATACAAAACTCCTCGTACCTGCGGTGTATTATAATAGTCTGTCACTTCCAAGGGGTTAGTGATTGGCGGGTCCCCTTATTATATAATCATAAATTTCTCACGTTCCATCCTGGCATCTAGAACGCGTATTTACGCGCCTTATTCTCGCAAAAGGCTTTCAAATGATCTAAAACGCATTGACGGCACTTGAAGCCAGAAAAAAGCTCGAGAAACGGATGAGATTTGGATGAGTTCAATTTGAGGTGTTCGCCGCCGGCCAAAAGCGGCGAAGAGAAACCATACTCGCCTTTGGACTGCAAAATGGAAAATAAGATATTCTGACCTCCGGGGAGTGTAGATAAATCGTTATTGATGCATCTTACCGTTCATACTATGGGAAAATGAGCGACCACGCAGTTGAAAGAGGCAGGAACTGTCGTGGGAACAACTTGCCAAACACGATGATTATATAATAAGGCGACCCTCCTATGACCTGCCACGCGGTAAATTCCAGACTAGGGGAGAGTGTTGAGGGCGCGGACGCGTAGTTGACGCGTCGTAGTTACTTATTTGGACTCCGTTAATACCGCTCTCTTAGCTAATCACACGGACTCATATAAAAGGCGTAAGTAGCTCTTCTATTTCACGCCACTTCTACTTTTACCTCTAACTATTACTTACTCTTTCGAGAATCACAACCTGTGCTTGCTCTGTCGGAGTGAACTTAGAGGTGTCGAAGTCACCAATTTCTACAGGTTCCCAGTGCTATTGGGTGCCTCATCCTCATCCTCGTCAATGATACAGTCAAAACGACCCATTACGCCGCCGCGCCCGAGCACTAAACGCCCTTTGCCTGAATCACCTGGTTCACCGGAGGTTTCAAGAGAGGACATGATGAGATTGGTGAAGCGACAGACCTATAGCTCGAAATCTGAGCTAGGAGCATTTTGTGAGTCGGTAGTGTTGAGCTATTCAATTACTCACATCGTGTAGTGGGTCAAGTTTCGATGGTCGTTGTCGTACATCCCATGAGGCTGATGTCCAGCCTCGATGAACTGCGCGATCTGGACTCGGGTGATTGACAGAATCTATGCGCATCATCCCAAGCTGCCACTCTCATCCTTCACACCGATTCGAGGCGCCAGATGATTGGTGCTTTCAAGATAGCGTCTTTTGGGTCTGTATCACCTGGAATATTCCGTCTCGCCCCTGAGTCGGGTCATGCTGTGTGTGCCAAGCAGAGCTATTACAAGTCCACTGCGAAAGTCGGTGGTATGAGTTTGGTGCAGCATGTGCCGCACGACTTTCAGCGCCAGGTATGAGCATGATTTATCATTTTAACGGTGTGTTCTCAGTCTGAGTGTGTGTTTTTGAAGGGCAAGACACTGACTATGGAGCTCCGCTGCCTCCTCTGGGCACACGTACTCCATTCGGCGGTCTATGGTTTCACTCGTCGCTTTCTCCGTGAGAATAACAAAGAGTTGCCTTTCACCCTCCCCTGGATGAGATTTGTGCATGGTGCTCTAGCCTCATCTACAGGGGCTTCTACTGTTCCTACGCTGTATTTACTCGAGGAGGTGATTGACCAAAGCAAAGAAGGGGCTTTCCGCAAGTACATCAACAATGCGTCTGCAGCAGTTTTGGATCTCAAGAACCCCGAGGATCGTCATCGGGCAGAGTTTCTGGCATTCTGCCAGCACTATCAACTCATAAAGACGCACGGTACTCTGTTTGTGTCTGACTGTCTTTCGAGACATATACATCACAATGAAATTTATTGGCTTGGCTTAGGTGGCCAGAGTCTGTTAACCGATCCCCAGATCATGTCCTCTCCGTGAGCTTGCATACTTTTGCAGCACCGCAGAAATTGATGCTTCCTCCAGTTCCCTCGACAGCCGCCAGCTTTTTGCAGACGGGAACATTGGGAAGGGTTTCGAGAGTTTCCAGAACGACCACGTTTGTAACAAGTTCTGCGAGTTCTTTGAACTCCAGCGTGATTTCGATTTTAAAACAAATGTGGAAGGGGAGGACTCTGACGGTGTGAAGAGCATGGCAATCAGTGTGGCGGAATGAAGGTAGTGCAAGCTCCAGCTCAAACCGCTTAAGGCTAAATTATATCCTCATATTACAGGACTCCCTCGGTCTCTCCCTACCGTACTCAGTGAGCCCTTCACTCTTTTCATTGTTTTCTGTGTTTCGTTATATCTTGACTGCCTTCTGTGTTTCTTTTATTACGTTTATTAGTTTTCAATATCTCGGCCTCCCTCTCCTACCTAATTCCTGATCCTGATACAGTGCTCCTCACCCCTCGCTCCCCTTCCCTCCTTACTTTAATCGCTGGTCTGGTACTGGTCCTACCAGATGCATACTTTCTCATTCCGTCTACGCGGTCATATACAGATTGTACTTTGTTCTTTCTTTCTACGACAGTCTGTACCTTACCTACTGTGTTAATGCAAGACATTCCTGGGTGGTAAGAGCAGCGTGTGTGCGTCGCGATCATTGAAACGATACTTCTCGTTCCCCTTACCGAATTGACTTGTGAAGGCCAAAATAGGCAAGAGAAAATCAAGTGAGGCAAGACAAACAAAGCCACCACCGTCTCTGGGGTCCCAACACTCGCTTCGACCAACACCTCCCATCTGTTCGACACAACGGCCAACAGCGGCCACTTGCCTTATATGGGGGCTGGTCAGGTCTTGTTGCCATAAACCCTGGGCAATCTGAGGCTATTTCCGGCGAAATAAAGCCCTCGAAATGTTATTTTTCAGCTGTCCGATCTTATTATAATTTATCGGACACACTATCAACTGCACGTGCTCTCTACCCCCCTTCCATATCGGGTTGACAGCTTTTGGCTGGTCGCCGCCCCTAACGAATATTGCTTGCCTCAGGAATCGATCGAGGCTTCTGGAGCAGGAATGATGATAGTGGAGATGAGGGGGAAAGCGCCCGAGAGGAAAGCCATTGCGAAGATTGCGGATGAGGTGGGAATAGGCTGAGGTAAGATTGTGCTTCTGCAACAGCGTCCGGAAGGCGTCAACGGCGATCGGGCAAGTCATCTGCCTTGGATGCCAGCGT